GAACCTAGACTGGCTACGCAATCTTCATTCACAACCGTAATCTCAAGCACTCTGTCCCAGACACTCTTCTGCACCTTTATATCTCTGATCCAAACACTCTTCTTTCGCACCTCTGTATCTCTGACCCAAAACACTCTTCTCTTCTTTCGCACCTGCGACAGCCAATCTTATCTCAAGCCTAAAGAATCACACCTTATTTTTCACTACTCTCCCGCACATTGCACACTAGAATTCTCATCCCTTGCAGTTTATACTGTTCGAGGTTCGCACTGATAATCGTTATTATTATACTCAGATTCCTGATGAAGCCAGCTGCAATGCTGGCGAAACGTATTCTACTGTACACGGCTTACACTCTAAAGCCTCAAACAGAATGAACTGGAACATATCGGGCCGTGAAAGCCTCAAAACACTCATCCCTTGTTTTTCACTTTTCCACTACTTTCCCGCGCATTGCTCGCCCGAGCAAACTAGTCTAAACCATTGCACCCTTAGTTACCAACCCATCCAGCTTTAGACCATAAGTTTTTACAGAGGAAACCAGCTACTGTTTTAAGTCAATCTCGATTTTGTATTAAAATATTTGCAGGAATCGACGGAAAAAATTCGAGAGACCCAACGGGAATCGAACCCGGGACCATCGGCTTAGCAAGCCGATGCTTTGCGCACTACGCCAACTTGTTTAGTTTTTATTTGTATCTTAAGTGCTTATACATATTACATAGTTAATTTAGATATAATATTGTTCTTAAGTTTTAGGTTACGTTGCCTGTCCGGAGACATTTTGGCGCATGTCCTGTGTTTTCTTTTCGCTTTTCAGTGCTTCTTGTGTAAATAGTGAGAACTGAGCTGTTGTGACTAGGAGAAATTACAATACAAATTACAGAAATTACAGTACAAACCTGTCGCTTAGGCCAACTACTCCCTCTATATTCTCCCTTGTCGGTTTCCTACTTGGGTATGGACGCCCCGATACTGCATATTGTATCTTTCAAATGGTGTCTTTGGCGTGTAAAAATCACTTGAACGGTTGAATCCACGGATTCAACGACACTGAAGTGATCAACTCTGACCCAAACATCCTTCTGTCACGCTTGAAACCCTAGAATACTCTGACTCGTTACAAACATTCACACGAAACTCCCATTCTCACAGTAATTAGAAGACAAAATAAGAAAAACTTGCAGTAGAAAATTAGAGAAGACGTGAAAAAAAAAAACAAAAAAAAACCTTAAAAAGGTAAACCAAGAAGGTCCAAAAGTGAGAAATTGAAGTGAAGGTATAGAAAAACTGAAAAAGTCACAGACCAAAGCAGTACTCGTCGAAGTGAAGAAACAAGTGATTGATATTACCGAAAAGTAGCATCCACATTCATAAAAGGAACGAAAACTGGGAAAATATGAAATGGTAAAAACGGAAAGCAATGGAAGGAGACGCAGAAATAGGGGAGCAGAGAGATGTCGAATGCGAGAGAGGAGCAAAAGGGTGGACGTGTGGTGAAACAGAGAGGAAGAGGGGTAACGAGATGGAAGAGGGAGAGAAAACAAAAACAGAAAGAGGGGAAAATGGTAAAAATAATCGGCGTAAAGAGAGGGAGAAAGAGCGATAGTGGTAGAAAGCGAGTGCAGTGAGAGTGTGGCGGAGGCATGGGCACACGAGAGGAAAAAAGGATTTCAAACACATCTCGACGCGTAT